GAGAAATACAAAGTTCAGCTAGAAGGCAGACTCACCAAACCTAAGGAACAACCAAGCAGCATATAAAAACAGATCACGCTTCCAGGAAATTACTAGATGAGCAGCGGACTAGAGAGGAGAATAATAGATATACCAGAACCAGCCTAGCAACCGTGAAAACCAGAGAGGCAGCCGAGAAGAGACCAGCAGCTAAGATAGACCAAGCAGCCAAACCAGGACGAAACAATCAGGTAGCCAAGCCGCCGAGAGAGAAGAATAATAATCAAGCAGCCGAACTGGAATAAACACTAAACAAGCAGCTGAGATAGACCAATAACCTAGCAGCAGTCGAACCAGACAGAAGAAGCAGCCGAGGACAGAGAACAACCGAAGAGCTTCAGATGACAAGCTCTGATACCATGTTGAAAACTGAAAATTAAACAGCAAGTACACGCGATTTACGTGGTTTCCCTGATAATCAGGACTAATCCACGGGAGAAGCAGAATTCTCCAGAGTCAATCTTATTCAACTTAGGTTATTATGTACAATATATATATATATATATATATATATGGCGAGTTCTACAGTACCCTGGGTAAAATCCGGGGTAACGCTTACCTTGAGTATGAAAACACTATCTAGACCTTGAATTGACCGATCTTTCGGACATGATACTATACTCTAACCCTTAAAGATCAAAATTTAGGTCATAATTCTCCCAATTTTATAATCCAAGATCAATTTGATTAGAAACAATAATCGACGGTTATGATTCGTCCAAATATAGGCACAAAGAGGAAAGCATCATCATAGGGTTTATAGATTATGATTTAGATAATTAGGACCTAGGGTTCACTCATTAAGGGTTAGGGTATAGTATCAGACCCAAAAATCCTGCTAATTCGAGGTCTAGATACCGTTTCCATAGTCAAGGTATGCGGTACCCCGGATTTCACCCGGGGTACCGTAGAAGGCACCATATATATATATATATATATATATATATATATATATATATATATATATATGTTGGCTTAGCTATACTCATAGCCCTAACCCGTATATTTAGGTAACCCTAGAAAATAAACATGTTTACTAAAAGCTACCCAAATAATACAAAGTCGTCATTTCAACACTCGGCCCACCGCGGTCTTCCTCGAGTAACCTCCGTCGCGCCCTCGAACAAGTTCTCCCGATCCGCCGTCATCCACGTCCTAATACGCGACTTCATCGGCATCGCGACGCTCCCGTTGCCACCGAGCTCAAAATCCCCGGATACCACTTCTCTACCTTTCCGGCGACGCCTGCCTCCACCTCCCGGCCATCCATAAAGCTCAACCCACCGTTGGTTTGCGATTCGCCTCCTTCGTCGACCCACATTTCTCCTGCTTGCTACCCTCACGAGCTTGGTCCACCCTCGGGGAATGAATTCGTGTCGTCGCCGCTGCGCAAGTTCCGCCGAAGCGAAGATGAAGAAGAGGAATTAGAAATAGGGTAAATCAACGACCTCTATAATTTCTTCCTCCGCTGGAAATTATTTTTTTTAATTTAATTAATTTTTTAAACAATTAATATGATAAGTTGTATCGATAAAGTAAGTGGAATGATGAGATGGAAAAATAAATTAATTTTTAAATTTTGTAAATTTCCACGTCATCTAGGTAACGGTCAAACTTTATAGTTGACTGCCACGTAGGACAAATTTAACGGAGTCTAACGGCCAGTGACCAACGTAGTTTACCCACATTGACTGGGTAGGATACCCGTGAGTTCGGATTTTGTTGCCGTCCCTAAATGCAGCTCACATGAGCAAAACGAAGATGCAGGAATTGGATGAAGTATGACTCGAGTATGTTATTAAATTTGATTTCGGAACCTATACTAAAACAATACTTGATTTAGATTCTCGAAAACAAAGATGAAGAAATTTGAATGAGTTGAGACACAAATGCTCATCTGTTCTTTATTTTCTAGCGGTATCTTGTACAAATTTTATCTTATTTTAAATTGGATGGGATCAGGTTCGGTCCTGAAATTTTGGAGGACTTGTTCGGTGAACAAAATGGGTCCAAAATTTACCCCCTAAAAATCGGGGATTGCTATTCGTCGCCCTAAAAATTCTTATTCGTCGCCCTAATTATATTAAATTTATTCTAATACCCTTAATTTATATTTTTTTCTTTCGATCTTAAACTCTAAAACAATCCAAAAAAAAATCACCACATACATCCACTCAGTTGTCGGTGTCGGCCACCTCACCGGAGAAAAAAAAATCCTATGTTGCTCGAGTCTTCGTCTCGCTTATCGCGGCGGATCGTGCTTGGGAACAACCATGCAATTTTTCACGATCATGATCGAAGGATTGGGTTTGGACCTTGGGATTCTCTTTGATTAAGGAATTGCTCTTCTGTCAATTGGATTACGCCCAAGTTTTCTTTCTAATTTTCTTTTCTCTGGTTTTTAGATGGGAAAATTAGGATGATGAGTGATTACAAGGTGGAGATGATTGATGATTTTTTCTGGGTTCTTTTACTTCTTCCCGTAGTTGATTGATGGCCACGATCGAAGGGTCAGCGCAATGGGGAGATAGAGCGATGGTGGGTCGGGGAATGGGTACTCCGACGGGTTTGGGGAACAACAGCGGCGGTCGGTGGTAATGGTGGTTAGCGGCTGAGTCGATGGCACTGTGCAGTGGGCGAGAGGCGGCGGTCACCCGTAGCAGCAGGGTGGGGACAATTTTCTTCTTCTGCAGTCTCCTCCTTTCCTTCTCCGAGCAGCAGCGGCGATAATGGTGGCCAGCGGCAGGTTGAAGGGATTTAGGTTTATGAATTGTGACGAAATATATGAGAGGGCAATAAGGTAATTTTAGTATAAATTAGGGCGATTTTTTTAAAATATTAGGGCGACCAATAGCAATTCAGTAAAAATCTAATAAAAGCATAACAATAAATAGAAACCATATCATTATTTAAAATAATATATATAATATTTAGTCCAATTAGCCTATGCAACGTAACATGATGATTTGAAATAAAGAGTGACAATGCTTTAAATAAAAATGTGTAATTAAAAAATCAATTTCTTGAGAGATTGAATAAATATAAAAGAACCCAAATAGTAACTAAAATGACAATGAATCAATTAACTAGGCTCTAATGTATAGGTTATGCGAAAATTAAGTAGAAGATGCAAATAGTTTTAGAAGAATCAAATAGTATAAACAAATAATAGAGTAAATTAAATTAGATAGGAGAAACTTATAATCTTTTTAGTCTAAAATCAAGTATAGTACAAACTATTTATAATTGACTTAGTGATTTTTCTTTTCTTTTCTACTATTGGTGGCTTGTACCTAATTATTATGTTTAACTTTAATAAATCAATGCATAATTTTTACTTAATTTAGCATTACTGCCTCGCTAATACAAGCATATTAATTTAGGAAATTGAACACCCCCGGAAAGCTGTAAATGAAGAAAGCTAAAGCAACAAATTTAATAATGTCAGTAATGAGGCATCAACCATCTTAAATCTTTTATTCTGTTTAGGAATCCCCGGACAAAAAATTAGTTATGTTATATGGTTTGAAAAAGTCAATAAGAAGCAAGCACTCTCTTCATGTGATCCGTTCTTTCCTTTAGCATTCAGACTTTAATTTATTATTAATATTATTTTAAACCTATAATCAAAACCCAATTCATAAATTTTCTATCATTTTAAATTCATAATCGAAACTCAATAGTTTGTAATAATAATTAATCATATACATAATACACGTCAGGAGACCTCAATAATTTGGAGGCCCGGTGCTACAGGGCCTACCGACACACCCTCAGGGCTGGCCCTGGACTGAGCAATTTCCCCTGAGCAATAAGCCAATAACTCACAAAGTAGGGGTGAAAATTTGGTTTGTGGTTTGTAGATAACTCCAAACCGCACAAAACCACACACATTGTGGTTCACCACAACTATAATTTGTGGGTTGTATGGTTAGCAAAATTTTAATTTTATCCCATAAAACACACTATAATCACATTAGTCTACCAAACTTTTGATTTACCTTTAAGTCCATTATACTTATTGATAACATTTATAATATAAAAAGTAAAGACTAATTTCATAAAATACTAGAATAACTCGCTCTCAAAATAAAAACTCATAGCTCATGTCGGTGGGATTGATTTGCGTTTTGCAAAGAAAAGCTTTTGTCTCTTTCTTCTCTCTGGAATTTTTTTGAATAACAAACTAGAGAAGAAAAAAAAAACTCACGCTCAATAAGATTTACAAAATTTCATCTTCATCGAAAACACAAAAATATATAAGTACTATAACCACAACTTCATGTCACAACTCGTTGGTGGCGGCCTCAACTCCATTCTTGCAAAGATGAATTTTTGCGGGTTACCACATGTTGAAAGCCGTTATGATTGAATTTATGTTAGTAAGTTGTTGTTTGGGTGTCAGTCTAAGCCGTATGTGTTTGCTGCTTTGGTCCTTGGTTATGTTACAAAAGAGTCCAGGTCGATTGCTTTGCAGTCAAGTTAGGGAGAGTTGTTTGAGTCAGATGAGTTGTTAGAGTTAGTTGCTGAAAACAAGGAAAATGGGGTGGTGGGATACTGGCGAGCGATCGTGCAGTCTGTTAGGAGTCATTGTAATTAGTACTTACGTTTTTTCGTGAATAAAACAAGTTGTCAGTTTGCCCCAACGTTGCTTTCATAGTGGTGTAAGAGCATTGACTTACTATAACTAGTATTCATGCAAGAGTGATTTGTTGAAAAGTGAAAAGTCTGAATCTCATACTAGGTTTAGGAAACATGAGAGTTCTTGTGAGGTTGTTGTTGTAGGGTGAGTGAAACACGAGTGTGTGTGAGTTGTAGATATGAAAAGTAGTGAAACATAAGGTTTTGCACAAGTGAGTGTTCCACGTTTTGATGTGACTATGATTACTGGAGCTTACTTATGGAGGATTTCCTGCGATTAAAAGAATTCTAGGGAGTGGTCTCAAATAGTTTCAATGAGCCTACACCAAAAGAAGCTGAGAAATCGACACCAACTCAAGTTAAGGAACCGGACAATCACAGGTTGAGAGATCTCAATGCCAAGAAGTACCATTTTATCTCCATCGACAAAACCATATTGAAAACCATTGCTCACAAGGCAACAGTCCAAGAGCTTTGGGATTCAATAAAGATGAAATATCAAAGTAGTGCGAGGGTAAAGAGAGCTCAGTTGCATAATTTGAGAAGAGAGTTTGAAGTTTTGGAAATGAAGACTAGAGAAAGTGGCAATGGCTATGTTGGAAGGGTCACAACAGTGACAAATGAAATGGGGAACTGGGGAGAAGAGATGAAAGAGGTGAAGGTTGTTGGAAAGATCCTGAGAACACTAACAGAAAGGTTTGACTATGTTGTTTGCTCCATTGAGGAGTCAAAGGACATAGATGCTGTCTCTATTGATGCTCTTCAGGCTTCCTTGTTGGTTCATGAACAAAGGTTCATGAAGAAGATAGATACTGAAGAATAGGCACTGAAGGTTGGATTCAATATTGGAGGAAGAGGAGAAAGAGGTCTGGCAAGAGGAGGATTTTGTGGTAGAGGAAGAGGACGGGGCGGAAGAACATGGAATAGAGATACCATTGAATGTTTCTACTGTCACAGGTGGGTCATTTCAAGGCTGAATGTCCAGAATTGTATGGTCAACAAGCATATATCACCCCTGCAACTGTCAATCAAGGTCCTGGCTACCCTTGAAAGAAGAGCTCTTTCTGATGGCCTTCACTGAAGAGGAGGAGAAAGAAGAGATGTAACCTGAAGTTCGGATGGCATCAGCAGAGGCATAAGAAGACAAGACTGAAGGCTGGTGGTTCTTGGATTCTGTATGCAACAATCATATGACAGGTGACAAAAAGTGGTTTACAAGTTTGGATACATCTTTTGTTTCATCAGTAAAGCTGGGAAATGGTACTAACCTTACTGTGAAAGGGAAATGCACTATTCAGTGGCAGATAGAACAACTATCCATGGTTGTTCAGGATGTGTTCTATGTACCAGGTCTCAAATCAAACTTGGTAAGCATAGGGAAGATGCAAGAGAAGGGTTTAACCTTTCTCATCAAAGAAGGAGTATACAAACTATTCCATGATGAGAAAGGCCTTATCTTACAAACGGTCATGAAGACAAACAGGTTGTTTGTGTTGCATAGTGTTGCGAAGTCACCTACTGAGAATCAGTGTTTGTTCACTGATGGAGATGATAATAAACAAGTGGTATCTTTTTAGAATTCTTTATCTTTTCTATCTATATATAGATAGAATTTTTGCAATCCAAAATCCTAGAATCGAAATTCTCTTTAGAATAAGTATTTTGTCACTAGTGTCTTGGGATCTCATTTGACCAATTATAACTTCTTGATTTGAATATTTCAATTATTTTGGAAAGATGCAAAATAACGAAGAACAAAAAATGCGTATTTCAATTTCGGCTATGTTTGGTTTTTTATTATTTATTGATTGACTAACTTATGGCATAGAAGATTTTGCCATCTCGACCACAAGGGGTTGCTGGAACTGCAAAAGAAGGAAAGGGTTAGAGGGCTGCCAGTACTGAAAGGCTCACCTGAAGTCTGCACCACTTGTCTGATTGGAAAACAACACAGAACTCCCTTTACAAAGAAAAGCCAGTGGAGGGCTACACAAAAGCTGCAGCTCATTCATGCTGACCTATGTGGTCTTATCACTCCAATATCCAGTAGTGGAAAAAGGTATCTCTTCACACTAATAGATGACTTCAGTCAAAAACTATGAGTTTACTTCTTAGCTGCAAAGTCTGAAGCTTTCAGTGTCTTTAAAGTTTCAAAGCCCTTGTTGAGAAAGAAACAAATGAATCTATAGTGTGTTTAAGAACTTATCATAGTGGAGAATTCAAAGCTAAATGAATTCAAAAGCTTCTGTGATGAAGAAAGTATAAGGAGGCAGTTAACTGCAGCTTTCACTCCCCAACATAATGAGGTAGATGAGGAGAAGAATAGAACCATATTAAACATGGTTAGGTGCATGCTTGAGGATACTAAAGTTCATTCAAGATACTGGCCTGAGGCTGTTGCTTAGACTACTCATGTTCTTAATAGGAGTCTAACAACAACCAATGAAAGGAAAACACATGAACTTTGGTATGGAGTTCCATCATCAGTGGAACACTTCAAAGTGTTTGGATGAACAACACATGTGCATGTTCCAGATCAGAAAAGAAAGAAGCTAGATGACAAGAGCACCAGATGCATCTACTTTGGGGTTTAGAGAGAGTTAATTTAAGGCTTACAGACTTTTCAATCAAACAACCAAGAAGGTCATAGTGAGCAGAGATGTAATTTTCGATGAAACACAGCCTGGATGGGTCTGGGATTCAGAAATCACTCTTGTCCTGACCAAAATTACTGCAACTCCATAAAGTGATGATGAACTCAGTGATGATGATGAGGAAGCTGCAAGCCTGCAACATCAGAGACTACATCAGTCTCAGAAGCTTCTACTGAAAGTGAAGCTTCACCAACTCCATGAAGTGGTAATCAACAACAAACATCATCCACTGATGCTGACAGTGATGAGGAAGACGCCCCCTGATGTTCTTGGCCTACATATTGGAGAGTTGACCCCCAAGAGTTCCTAGAGTTTCCAAGCTGCTTGCACACTTCGATGGCTTTGAGATGGGTTGTGTGCAAGTTGATTGACCAATGCAGTCAAAATCGCATTTTAAAACTTACAAACTTACGATTTTATGCTTTTAGGTCACCAAAATGCATTCGTTTCCATATAAAATCTTAAGTGTATAAAATCGAGACTAAAATGCGCTTTAAAGCTTAAAAGCTTACGCTTTTACGCTTCTGATTCACCAAAACGCTTTACGCTTCTAGTTCACTAAATGAGTATTCTATTCATGAAAATACTTATATTTTCAAGGTAAATCATAAAAATATGATATATTTGAGATTAAAAGATACATATCAGGTACTTGGGTACATTCTTAGCTTCAGTAGAGTAATCTAATTCACCAGCTAGGCCCTTCCCAAATTCATTAGCATAGAGGGGAAGGTAGCTTATTATTAAGATATATGTTTAAAAACTTATTGTTAAAATGTTATGAGTTTATCAACTTTAGACATGAATTACAAGTATTTATTAACTTATCTAAACTATGTGCACTCATATTTTACATAGTATATGTCGTACTTAACACATTTTTCATTATTTTACAGTATGCGTAAAAAACTTACGTTTTTACGCTTTGATTCTACGCTTTACGATTTTACCCATTTTCCACTTCTAGGTAGAATCGTGCTTTTGATTGCATTGGATTGGACGATTATGGTTGCTATTGCAGGAGATCCCCAGACCTTTGAAGATGCAATAAAAGAAGAAAAATGGAGAATATCAACGACTCAGGAGATGATATTCATTGAGAAGAATGGAACTTGCGTTTTAACTGTCTTACCACCTGGTGTTACACCTATTGGAGTAAAGTGGGTCTTCAGAACTAAGCTTAATGAGCTTGGAGACATTGATAAGTTCAAGGCAAGGCTTGTAGTGACGGGATATGCTTAACAACAAGGCATTGATTACTCTGAAGTGTTTGCTCCATTGGCCAGATGGCATACAATAAGAACACTGTTGGCCTTAACTGCTTTCCATGGTCTAACTGTCTACCAGTTAGATGTAAAAAGTGCATTCCTTCATGGGGATTTAACTGAGGATGTTTATGTCTGTTAACCTGAAGGTTTTATTGTGCCAGGAGAAGAAGCAAAGGTGTACAAGTTAAAAACAAAGCCCTCTATGGTTTGAAGCAAGCCCCCTAGGGCCTGGTATAACAAAAGAGAGAGCTACTTCCTACAGAATGGTTTTGAGAGATGCTCATATGAGCACACACTGTTTATAAAAAAGAAAGGGAGTTGATCTGCTGCTGGTAAGCATCTATGTTGATGATGTTATGCATTGCAGCAACAATGAGTCTATGATTGCAGAGTTTAAAGCCTCAATGAAGAGCAGATTTGAGATGACAGATTTGGGAAAGATGATATATTTTTTGGGAGTTGATGTGATTCATAATGAATTTGGAATCTTTCTGTGCCAATAGAAGTATGCTCGTGAAATCCTAAAGAAGTTCAAGCTCTCAGAATGTAACTTCTGCAAGAATCCAATAGTGCTTGGAACAAAGTTAACAATCAATGGTGATGGAATTCCAGCAAGTGCTATACAATATAAACAGTTAATTGGGAGTCTTTCTATATCTCACTACTACAAGACCAGACTTTATGTATTTTGTGTGCCTACTAAGCAGGTATATGGGGGCTCCAACTAGGCAGCACATGCTTGCTACAAAAGAGTCTTAAGATATCTTAAAGAAACACTGAGCTTTGGTATCTGGTACAAAAAGAAGCAGAGTGAAGAGAGCTTAGTGAGCTACACAGACAACGATTATGCTAGGGATCTTGATGATAGAAGAAGCACTAGTGTTTTTGTGTTCTTTCTTGGATGAGGTGTTGTTTCCTGGGCTTCAAAGAAACAACCAGTGGTGACTTTGTCTACCACTGAGGTTGAGTTTGTGGCTGCTGCAGGCTGTGCAACTCAGTGCGTGTGGCTTAGAAGGATCCTTTAGCATATGGGATGGCAGTCAAGTGTTGTAGAAAATACTACTATCTCTGTGATAATAGTTCTACAATCAAACTATCAAGAAATCTTGTTCTACATGGAAGAAGTAAGCACATTGATGTGCGATTCCACTTCCTAAGAGATATAGGTCAAGGAAGAAACTATAGATTTGGTGCACTGTGGAACAGCAGATCAAGTTGCAGACATTTTAACCAAGCCAATGAAGACTGTTGTGTTCGACGAGCTTCGCCAAGCTTGGAGTTAGAGACATTGTTGAATTCGCAGCAGCAACATAAGTGAACTGAAGTCTTACCAGGCTTCAGTTCATGGGAGGTTGTTGAAAGCCGTTATGTTTGAATTTATGTTAGTACGTTGTCGTTTGGGTGTCAGTCTAAGCCGTATGTGTTTGCTGCTTTGGTCCTTGGTCTTTGTTTATGTTACAAAAGAGTCCAGGTCGATTGCTTTGCAGCCAAGTTAGGGAGAGTTGTTTGAGTCAGTTGAGTTGTTAGAGTTAGTTGCTGAAAAATTGGGAAAATGAGGTGGTGGGATACTGGCTAGCGATCGTGCAGTCTATTAGGAGTCATTGTAATCAGTACTTAAGTGTTTTTCATGAATAAAACAAGTTGTCAATTTGTCGCAACATTGCTTTCACCACAACCAACCCATACTACACCGAAGTGGATAGTGATTACTCACTAACCACTATTGTACAATTTTTGTGATTAGTATAACTATAACTTTATGAATGTGATTAACCACAATATTTGGGACCGACATATTTCCATCCTAGATTAGATACTTATCCTCTTTCGATGGACCGACATATTCACCAATTTCACACCACACCATCCTCACCCAAAAACATACAGAGGAAAGCCCATCGGCTTACGCATTCTAAGTAAAATGACATCATTTTAATGAATTTAATGAATAAAAAAATTAGTTTATTATTCATTTTATGAATGTAATAGTTAAAAGTTGATGATATTTGTTGGATTGTAACTAAATTGTCCACAAATATGTTTTATATATGATTAAATACATTGGATATTAATTGTTTTCATATTTTTTTAAACCGACATGAACCGACAGAAACTGGTTATACCACCGGTCGTACCGTTCCACTTGCCAAACTGGCACAACGGTATAAACCGGTTTGACAACCTTGATATACAGTTAGACACCCTTGGGCCTTGAGCCATGTTATCTTCGTCGCCCTAGTCGCGGCCCTTGTCGTTTTTATTACTTATATATATTTTTTTATTATTAATTAAAGCAGAGTTTACACTTTCGGTCTCCGACTGCTTCTATTTAGATTCGACAGAGAAGGCCCAGAAGGGGAAGGGAAGGATAGGAACACACAGCCGAGCACGAGCAGAGAGCAAAAATGGCGATGGCAAGCTTCGCGAGGAGAAAGGCTTACCTTCTAACCCGACACTTCTCCAATTCCCACCCCGACGCCCTCCGCTACTCTTTCTCCCTCGCCAGCTTCTCTCGCGGCTTCGCTTCCGGATCTGATGACAACGATGTGGTCATCATCGGCGGTGGCCCCGGCGGCTACGTTGCCGCCATCAAGGCAGCGCAGCTCGGCCTCAAGACCACCTGCATCGAGAAGCGCGGTACACTCGGCGGCACCTGCCTCAACGTTGGATGCATCCCGTCCAAGGTAAAATCCAACGAACGGATGTTTTTCCTTCTTGTTTCCGTTTAGTTGATTGCAGAATTGTGTTTATCAGATCTATGGATGCCGATGTGGATTTTTTTCTTTTTCTGATGCTCTATGGATAGGTGTTGATTTTCTTTCTTGTTCCCAATTCGTTGGACGTCGACGAGTGAGGCGGTTCATTCATTTCGATCGGCTGCTTTGACCATGCTCAATTCGATTGTTCTGTTTCAGTGCAGATACGGGGAGCTAGGGTTCATTGTTGATTGCATTAGAGCTATATGAAATTGATTTAATAGCGGTTGTCTTGTTTAATTCCAGCAACTCCTTTCGCTCCATCGGCGTTGATCTAATTCATTAGGTTCTCTGTTCATGTGTTTGTAATGTTTATCGACGTTTGTTTTGCGTTTCAGGCGCTTCTTCACTCATCCCACATGTTCCATGAAGCTCAGCACTCATTCGCCCACCACGGCGTCAAAGTCTCCAATGTGGAGGTCGATTTGCCCGCCATGATGGGCCAAAAGGACAAAGCAGTAGCAAATCTCACCAAGGGCATCGAAGGATTGTTCAAGAAGAACAAAGTAACCTATGTCAAAGGGTACGGCAAATTTGTCTCCCCCAATGAAGTCTCAGTCGACACCATTGACGGTGGCAACACTGTCGTTAAGGGCAAGAACATCATTGTTGCCACAGGCTCTGACGTCAAGTCCTTGCCAGGGATCACCATCGACGAGGAAAAAATCGTTTCTTCCACTGGCGCTCTATCCCTGAAACAGATCCCCAAGAAGCTCATAGTCATTGGAGCAGGCTACATTGGGCTCGAGATGGGATCAGTATGGGCCCGCCTCGGTTCAGAAGTCACCGTCGTGGAATTTGCTCCTGACATCGTCCCCACAATGGATTCTGAAATCCGCAAGCAATTCCAACGCTCTTTGGAAAAACAGAAGATGAAGTTCATGCTTAAGACGAAAGTTGTAGGAGTCGACAGCTCGGGAGATGGCGTGAAGCTAACTCTAGAGCCAGCTGCTGGTGGCGACCAAACTATCCTCGAGGCTGATGTGGTGCTAGTGTCTGCTGGCAGGACTCCATTTACAGCTGGTCTCGAGCTCGACAAGATTGGGGTTGAAACCGACAAGGGTGGAAGGATCTTGGTCGACGGGAAGTTTGAAACCAATGTAAAAGGTGTGTTCGCCATTGGAGATGTGATTCCAGGGCCCATGCTGGCTCACAAGGCCGAGGAAGATGGTGTTGCTTGTGTTGAGTTCATAGCTGGCAAGCATGGACACGTGGACTATGATTTGGTTCCAGGAGTAGTGTACACGCATCCCGAGGTTGCGTCAGTGGGGAAGACAGAGGATCAGGTGAAGGCGAGTGGGGTGCAGTATCGAGTGGGGAAGTTCCCGTTCTTGGCGAACAGTCGTGCGAAGGCCATCGATGATGCTGAAGGGTTAGTGAAGATAATTGCTGATAAGGAGACTGACAAGATATTGGGAGTTCATATCATGGCGCCGAATGCTGGTGAGCTCATTCACGAGGCGGTGTTGGCAATTAACTACGAGGCGTCAAGCGAGGATATTGCTCGCGTTTGCCATGCTCATCCGACGATGAGTGAGGCGTTGAAGGAGGCTGCCATGGCTACTCATGACAAGCCTATTCACATTTGAAGTGTTTTACCTGCAGATTTGGATAATTTTTGTTTTCAAGATTTAGCTAAGGCGGGATGTTGTTGCCCTCCATTCATCTTGTGAATCCTCTTTTCCCGAATCTTTTTTTTTTATCTGATCGATTGTCGGAAACACAGCAGTTGTTACTGATGGGGATCACGGCCTGTTGAATCTTTTATAGTGGCTGAATGAATAACTTCACATTTGCTCGACAAGGTTCATATTGCTTTCTTAAGGTTATGTTCCTTCCGTCGAAACCAAATTACAAAAGACGTGACCAGGGGAAGGCAACGAAACAAGCCGTGAACCAGCAATCTAGTAGTAACTTCATTAGGGTGAAAATTTCGAGCCTTCCAAAACACGGAATGCTTCATCAATTCAACCCTCTTGGCATTGCAGAATCCATCAACCAAGACTGTGTAGTTGAACACATTAGGGCAATAACCCAAATCCTCCATCTGCTTGACTAGCTGGATTGCCTCGTCCTTCACCACAGCTCGAGAAACTCAGTGGATGATAATGTTATAAGTAAACCTATCCCAATTATCAGAACCCATTTGCTGGAACTTCGTGGTAGGACTAATGCTGACAAAGGAAATCTGTCCAAATATTTCACTGCAGTACTTCACCAATCCTAATCTGCCCCAGCTGGACAACAGAATACAGATCAAATCTTCATTAACATGAAACCCAGAGTCCTTACCGCTAAGTAACTCAACTGATAAAAGAACGGGACCCTTCCGATAAATAAAATAAAGTTAGCTAAAGTTGTTCTAACCGATTGATCCTTGGAGAAAACCGGGTAGACGCTACAGATCCAAATGTAGAATTTCAAAGCAATCCTTGGGTTGTCCTGATTCTGCAAAATGCTAACGACGAACTGTGGTTTCAAGGATATCCTCTTGGCTCTCAGCTTGTGGCTCAGCAACAAAGACCAGCCTCTGCTAGACAGAGCTTGAGAAATGTAGCTTCGATGGGCTGGTTTGAGCTGGGTTTCGAAATGACAAGGATATGATTAAATTAAATTAATGGTAAAGGGGAAAAAAATGTAAACAGAGATGGCAATATCCCTACAGAAACACTCGGCAACCTCCCAATGCATACACAAATCGATCAATATAACTCCTGAAAAAATGATGAGTTTCCCTCCACTCCATTCATACAATTATGGAGCCCCCCGGCAAAAGCTGCAGCTAGCAGCTCCTGTTTCTTACTCCCGTTTTCCGGATTGCAGCAGAAGCCAGCAGCTCCTCTCATTTCTCTTGATTCAGCATCAAACAATGACTTGAAGAAGCCATCCTTGATCAGAAATCAAAGCCCTTTACCAAGAATGAAAAATAAATTAACCCACAGGAGGGTCTCTCTCTCTTTCTCCATTCTAACCTCTGCTCTTCCATCCATTAATCCTCGCGCATATCAGTTCGTCTCCTGGCTTGCATCGCCAGCCTGGCATCCCTCTCCCTCTCGAACTCCCTATAGTCCGTTCGTTGCAAGAACGAAACTTTATCCAAATACTGGTTTGAGCTCTTCTTGTACGTTTCTAACTCGTCTTCAAGCCCCTTATTCTCCTCCTTGAACTCTCCCCAGTCTTTCTTTGTCTTGTCCAGCACACTCAGCTTTTGTTTCTTCTTGATTTGTTCAAGCACAGCATCCACAGCCGAGTGTGCTGCAGCTGCTTTCCCCTTTTCGGCTGCCTCTTTTGACTCCGCATCAACTAGCTTCTTCACCTCGATATCCCGACCAGCAAAATCCCGAACCTCCATTATCTGCAAAAGTCAAAAGGCGTTGTGTAAGTTGTTCGCCAAACTTGTCGAGCTAGGAAGTCACTGCAATAAAGCACACCGAGAGAAGATAGAACACTGTAATTTATGTGCATACCTATTACATAAATGGTCGATGAACTTTCAGGTCATTAAAACACTGGCCAATCAACTTCGATTTTTAACAAATTGAAGTTTAAATTACTAAACTTACATTCATTTTGTTAATGTCCAGTACATCTATCTAAATTGACCAGAGTAGTGTGCTAAGTCACCCAAATTAATATTTAACATGTCACATAGTCCATATACATGACTTAGGACGACCTATTTACCTCATACCCGATCCAAATCAAACCATTGCTCGACCCTTCCTACCAACACCACCCAGATCGCACTCTGCTCCCCCTAATTGAAGGGTACATATAACTTGACACACTGATCCCAGCAGTTTAGATGAAAAACTAAATGGAGATGGATAGGGTGGTTGTTAGCTAGGGCGTTATCTATTTGGAATTTAAGAGAAGCGTAGCTGTTACCTATGGTGCTCATACCTACCTCAGAACTATTGAAGTGAAACGGCTGCAGACAGCCATTCCAATCAAGCAAACATGACATTGATGTGTAAATCATAAGTTATCTTAGCTCAAACTTAACAGTTCTCATAATTCAGATATAATTGGCAGACAGCTATTATGGTAAATAAGATAAAAGCCCACCTCAACTTTTCCCTTCAATGCGGCAGCAGCTGCAGCATCCTTAACTGCAGAGAGAGCAGCAGCAGCAAGCTTCTTGGACTCCTCACTCGTGCTTGTATGTAAACCATTAGGCTTCTCCTGTGATGATGCCTCATTATCTGATGATTGTGCCCCGTGCTTTGTTTCCAAGCCAAGATAATTATTCCAGCTCTGTGAAAATAACCAAGGTAAAAGCTTAGTTTTCATCATAAGAAAATGGTACATAGAGAGAACAAAATTAGAGAAGTTCTCACATCAGACTTCTTTTGTGAAGTTTGATCCACACTTGTACTAGACTTGTTTTGAGATGATTCGATTTCCTTACTAGATATTCCCTTATTCATTTGCTCCTGTGACCCCTTCTGTTCTGCATCATTTGCAGGGGATCCATTTGTCTTTGGTGTTAGACCTAGATAAGTCATCCAATTCTTGGAAAAAGAATCACAAGTCAAGCATTTACTACAGAATACTCTCTTTCGACCAAAATAAAAACAACAAAAACTCACAGAATACTCTCTTGAGAAACCGTAGGAAGAGTGGATATTCTTACATAATTTGGCTTCTGTGAGGAAGTTCTCACGTCCAGATGAGTACGCTTCTTTGATTCAAGCTTAGCGTTCCTACTGAAACCCTTATTCATTTGCTCCCATAGAGCTCCTACCCGAGCTTCCACGCCTAGAAAACCCATTCATTATAATGCTAATTCATCAGCAAAGTGAAACTTACTTCACCGACAGAAAATTAACAAACCAAATGGCCGTTAGCTCTAACCACTTTCTTCAGGTTTTGGCTCCGAAGTTGAAGCTAGATTAGCATCGTGCAAAGCATCCACATGGGAACTCATGCTTAACCACTTTTAACCTCCCTGGAAGACAAGAGTAACCCATTCCATCCAGAAAGAAGACAATGAGAAACACTATTCGGGAACTCCACCTCATCCCCTTAAATACATTGCAAGCAAATATAGATTTCTTGAGCCAGAGCAAGGCATATGAACAAGTTGGAAATAACAATCAAATGAGCAGCTTTGCAGACTGCAGTCTTACGAAAACACAAACCGGCAGCTGAAGCTCGATCCAATCCAACTATGCGGCAAGGCTACTTCCTATATACCTATCATTCAGAGAAAAGACTAGGAAAACTACAATTTCCATCCCTCTCAGACTTCAGTTCAACAGAAAATCACTGTTATTGTAGAAATTCCAAGAGGTAGGGAGCCGAACAGGAACACAAAGAATCAAAGCCTAACCGCAGCTACCTCCACAATCCTCAACTTCCCAAGATTTTGAACTGAAATCAACACAGATTCTCCAAACCGACCATTAACAGTTGATTCCAATCTAATGAAAGGACTCAGTTGCAACGCCATTATCGAAATCGATGCGGTAACAGATTCTTGTGCCAATCGAAAGAAGCAGCTTAAACGTACCGGTATCACAAACAGAAACCCGAAATCCAAAATAATTCCGCGGCAATGCTGGAACGTTATTTTCCACTTTCCTCCTCCTCTCTTACATTCGAGAGATCGCAGGCAGTAGCAAAACCTGAACAGCTGCCTGGATTTCGCTTATCACGTCGGGATTCTGCGGTCGTCTCTTTCGTCAATTTCCGTCGCTGCGGTCCTGTGGATGAGGTGCGCCAGGGAGTTTCCCGTAGCTGAGCCGACGAAACTCTCCAGCTCTCTCTAGCCGGCGTGTTTTCTTTGGAACGCCGTCGCATTATCTAATCAGTTCAAGTAGTAGCAGATGTATTCTTTGGGCTTCTAGAACCATAGACTGGGCCGTAATTGAAGATGGACTTTGGGTTAAATTCGTTGGGAGCACTAGAATAAGCCCGGGAAGAATCCGTAAAATTTCCAACACCTTTTTTTGGTATTACGGTTATGGACAGTGTTTGCACCCGGAAAATTTCCAAGGCTAACATAGTAATTATGAGACTCTGATTTTGACTCACTCGTCCAACTTCTTCAGGAGTGGAAGAACCTGTGAAGCGGGGGGCGGCCCTCGGGATCTACGCTTCGACACCCAAATTAGTACAATATAGGAGAGAGTGTATGGTATGTAGAGAGATAAAGTAGAGAGAGATCTTAGGGGAAAGTAAGGAAGGGAAGGTGAGGATCCCTAGTTTGGAGGGTTAGACCTTCTTATATAGGGTTTGGGCTTTCTTGAGTGGGCTTGGGCCCAAGGTGCCTTACGATGGGTTTGGGCCCATTTATAGCCGTGTTAGGCATATTAATCCATATCCCGACAATTGTCCCTTTATTTCTTGTATTCTGTAAGAATGGAAGGAGTAACATAATGCGTTAATCGTGTATTAATTTGCCTTACTTGCGAATCCGGATGAAGCGGTTTGCCCCTTGTGCGAGTTACGTGATCCTTTCTTTTGCCCCTTGCTTAACTTTCGATGTTTTGAACTAAAGCTCTCAAGTCATTAAGAATTCTTTCGCTAGTCTATTGTTGTTAGCGCTAGTAAGCCCTAAGTATGAGATAGGTAGGGTGGCCCCCACGGCTTGAGAGTTTTAACTCAAGACGCTCTTGTGTCTCACCTATGTCGCGCTCATATGTGTCTGGAGCTCATGTGTCTTGTCAATGTCTTGCTTGTGTGAGGCAAGATCAACTATTATCGTCTTGTTGATGTTGCCCCCTAGTAGGAGGCGTTTCGTCTTCTAGCATGTTGGTTCTTTCTTTTAGCCTAGCGAGAGGCGTTGTATCTTTCAGCTTCCTTGGAAGCACTTAAGTATTTTGGTGCTTGGGAAGCGCATTAGTCGTTCCGCTTCCTCGGAAGCGCATTGGTCCTTCGGCTTCCTGGGAAGCGCATTACTCATTCGGTTCCTGGGAAGCGCATTGGTCCTTCGGCTTCCTGGGAAGCTCTTTCGTCATTCAGCTTTCTGGAAAGCGCTTACGTCTTCGGCTTTCTGGGAAGCGCTTTAATCTCCACGGTGGGCGCCAAATTGTTTGCACCCGGAAAGTTCCGAAGGCTAACATAGTAATTATGGGACTCCGATCTGGACTCCCTCGTCCGATCTTCTCGGGAGTGGAAGAACCTGTGAGGCCGGGGGTGGCCCCCGGCATCTACGCTCTGACGCCCAAGTTAGTACAATATAGGAGAGAATGTATGGTATGTAAAGAGATAAAGTATAGAGAGAGACCTTAGGGGAAAGTGAGAAAGGGAAGGAGAGGATCCCCTAGTTTTGAGGGTTAGGCCTCCTTATGTAGGGTTTGGGTTTTCTTGAGTGGGTTTGAGCCCAGGGCGCCTTGCGATGGGCTTGGGCCCGTTTATAGTCGTTATAGGCATATTAATCCATATCCCAACAGATAGGACATCTACCGTCGACAATAGGAACTAATCTCTTATCCGGGGTGATCACACCAAACTATAAATAATAAATACAGAGTGAGCTATATTCTCATATGAAAAGATCGAACTCCTAATCTCATAGTTAAGGGATGAGGCGAAGGAGAGGGTGACGGAGGCGAAGGCAACAACAATATAAAAGATGGCGACGCAGGGGAGGGATGCGAGGACGACTACTATAACGGGGAGCGGGAAGCAATGGCGAGATATGCAAGGACGACAACGACGAGAGGTGCAAGAACGACAATTTTGGCGATTCACTCTTCTGATGAAAGAGAAAAGAGAGGCGGAGAGGAAATGGAGAAGAAAAAAATGGAAAATATAAAGAGAGAAATTATTGCTTTATTGTGACTTTTAAAATTTAATTAATTTAGCTTTAAAAATTCCAAAACTATCCTTCTAATATCTATCATGGATACATAATTAAAAAGACGAAGGGTGATTATTGGGGTTAGTATGGTGCTAACCTTTAGTGAGTTAGCAAGCCATTCCATCCGAGCTTCTTGTTTCATTCCCCTATTTCTCCCTCCCACCACGAACCCTATTTCCCCAATCTGCGCTATAGTGGTGGATATGTTTGTATAGTATAACGACGCAGAGTCTTAGATCGATGAAAGGAAGAAGATCTCAAGACATTTGAAGAGAAGGTTTGGATCAGGCATTAAAGTTGCCCAAGTTGCAAATGGAAAACCACTAAGGGGTGGTGGAGGTGATAAAGGCGCAGTCTGCATTACCTCCTTGGTGGCCACAGGCAAGGCTATAAGTTTGTATTAAACCTTCACAAGATTTTTCAGGTATTTATGGGGGCCGGGGGTTTATCGTCACTTGATAAATGTATCCTCGTATAAAAAATAAATTAAAAATGGAAATCGGTTGCGTGGTGTAGACAAATTAGCTTAGCACACATATAGTAAACCATCTATACATTAATACTCGACATAATAATAGTACAATATTGATAATTTCTCATGTTCCAATATGGACAAGTGACCCCCCTAGATACAATCCACAGGTGTTACCGGAGGGGGGGGGGGGGGGGGGGACCCGATGGTAGAGGAGATCTTGTGTCCTGGTGAAGGAAAATGGTGTGACCTTAAACTTCACCAGTGATTTGATCCGCCGACCTGTGAGGCCATTAAATCAATCCCCTTGCCTCGCAGGGATGTGGAAGACAGATTGATCTGGCATGATACTGTCGATGGGGTTTTCTCCGTCAAGTCTGCTTATCATCTGGCCGTCGCCTTGGATAGGAGGAAGGGTGGTTGGAAATCGGTGGTGGGTTGGATGGACAAGCCTAGTTGGGTTCGCTTGTGGAATGCGGATATTCCCCCCTAAGTTAAAAGTCTTTGTCTGGCAGATCCTGAACCGTGCTCTCCCTACGACAGAGGCTCTCATTGAGAGGAAAGTTCCAGTGCACCCCAGATGTCCGGTCTGCTGGAAGGGCATTGAGACTTTGGATAATCTCTTTCTTGAGTGTCCAGTTGCCCGTGCCCTCTGGGACTATTCGGGTCTGGAGTATCTTGGGGAGGGATTGCCTCGGCATACCCTCCCGCTCTTTCTGAAGAGACTGCTGTTTTTGGTTCATAACCCCGCGTTGTTCATGATGGTGGTGGCCATCCTGTGGAGGATTTGGCGATCTCGGAATTGGGTTGTCTTTGAGGGTAAGCAGTTCGGGATTCCAGCCTTGATGTGTCAATTTCACCAGCAATATGAGGAGTGGGTTGGTCTGACCTCAAGCCCGGCACCGATGTGGATTTCGCCAGCTCCAGACCTTACAAATTCTTTGGGTGACAACAGGGTGATTTGTATGTGGGATGGGGCCACGAGCAGTGGGTCTCACTCGGCTGGAGGGATGGTTCTTATGAACCCGGAAAGGGCGATCCTGTTGGCAAAGGGAGTTCAGTTGCAGTCAATTGATGACCCCATGGTTGTGGAATTGCTTGTACTCAGGGAGGCTCTCGTTTGGTGTCTGGAGCTCGGCTTCTCGGAGGTCAGATTGGAGGGGGATGCTAAAGTGCTCATCAATAAGATCAACAAGGCAGATACTAGAGATAACCGGGTGGGGGCAGTGCTTGAAGAGATAGGATATTATTTTCAGGCCCATCCTGGTTTGACCATTCGATTTGTAGGTCGGCGTAACAATAGGGTAGCCCATTTGGTGGCTAGAAAGGCCCTTTCTTTGTACCCGGCTATGAGTCGGCATTTTGATTTTCGGACCTGGCTTGCTTCCAGGATGTAACTATCGATTGCTTTTATCAATATATGATTATCTTTTGTCCAAAAAGAAAAGTGTAGAAATGAGCAAATTTAACAAAATAATAAGATAATAGTTGTGAGAACCAACACACATAAATATACCTATTCTCAACCTTCTTTTTTACGGAAACCTATTTTTCTTTATTAACATGTATTTTTCAATCTATAAATTAATGATCATAAAATTTTAAAAAATAAAATTCACCCATCAATTTATAACATAACTAGGATAATTTTAAAATATATGAATCAATAATTTTCTGTTTCTTCTTAATGTCTAGGTCTAGTAGAAGTTTCTTTAAGTTTTCTCATAGCACTCAAAATTGCAGTCTTGTCTTCTCTAATTGCAACAACTAGTTTTGAAGAGGAGATGCAGCTTTAATCGTTTCCTTTCGCGTAATCAGTTACAAAGGTGTTGAATCATCATCTCATTCATCCTCGATCAAACTCCCAATGATATGAAGGAGGCCACTATTTCTTCTAAACTTTGTGTCTTAATACATTCATAATTTTCACCTGGATACTCGAACAACACACTTACATCCATCTTGTTACGATAAGACATACCATTAATCATATCCTCATGTTCACTAAAGTCTTCTTGAATTTTTTTCATTCGAGTCGACTTCAATCCTTTAACGAATTCTGCAATATTGATGGCAATTAGTTATTGTTCCTTGATGAACATCCAACTTCTAAGATGCAACTGCAAGATTCATAATATATAAAACATATTAATCTTTTTCGGACTCGATAACTCCCATTCGCATCCCTCCAATACCTTTCGATAAAATCTCTTTCTTTAGAGCACCTTTAAGGATCTTATTATCCAACATTGCATGGTTGGGTTTGGCTTTTTACATCATGTTAGGTGGCAAAAAATAAATCCACACTTTGTAACCCCTCATTAATTTTTAATGGGCATGTCTTTTATCCACAACTTAAAATCCTCTTTTGTTATAAAAATAATGTGGAAGAAGAATAAACACAAGATCAAGAGTAGAGGGCAAATAGAGATTTCTTGTTCATGTATATTATTGGTACATATGATTATATCATCAATGTATATAATGAGGAATAATGAGCAATTAAGCACAAATTCAAATGTGTGTGCGGAGTTACAATGTAACACACAATTTTGCACTAATGTGTGCATCTAACGCAAGTGAGAATAGATTATTGACATTGTCATTGATCGTACGGTGATTAATACGAATTAGACGCCCTAAGGTGTCTGTCAATCTACAAAAAAAAAAAGATTATTGTTCCATCAATTAATAATAAATACTATAAATTAATAATTTGCATGGTCCCGACTATATTAATTTGTAGAGGTTTTATTGTATATGTATATGAATGAAACGTGAAATGTTTCTAATCCTTTCTTTTTTCTTTGTTTACACGAATTCGTCTTACACCAGAATACTTCTTTGGAAGAAAGAAAAAGAAAAAAAAAACGTGGGATTTCAAGATATTTGAGGTAAGCTATTTTGAGAACAGACATAT